CCTTCTTCCTTCCTTCCTCCCTCCCTCCCTCCCTCCCTTCTCTCCCTCCCTTCCTCCTTCCTTGTTAGAGAGGGACCTGGTTTTCTGCCAGGGTAGAACTATCCACACTAGGGAACACCATAGACAAGACACTGCTGAGAGAGACCACTGAGCAGGAGTCACTGTGTGCCCACCATAGATCAGCTTTTACTGGGTACCCACAGGTAGGACTCCATCCATCTGTCAAGTCACAACTTCTTTTATAGGTAAATCTCAGGAAGGTATAGTTGCTTAGCATGGAACACATTCGAACTTTGCTCCATTTGACTTAAAGCACCTAAGGTAAGTGTGAATCATGCAGAGCTCTGCCTGACCTAGTCCACCTTTGGTAGACGTGGTAGTGCTAAGCCTGCCACCACAGTACTGTCAAATGCTGTGCTTTATTTAAGGTTAACACTCTAGAGATTTTACAAATGAGCTAGTGGAGGTTTGAATCTGAAAAGGCAAACAGCCCAATCTATCTAAGGCTGCTTGCTGGTGCCTTTTGTGACAGCTGCTGCTGCTGAGGAATAAATGATAGGACGTTTGCTAAGAGCTTACCGAGGGCTGACTGTATGCTCCTTTGTCAGGTTGGCCCCACAACTTGCCTTTTGATAGTCAGTTCTTATTTTACTGATGGACAAATGGTTTACACAAGGCTAAAAGTCTGCTGCTGCTTTCATCAGCAGGGAAGTTTAAATGGGAGCTTTGATTCCAAAAATGCTTTTCTTTCCAAGGAATGCATTCCAGCTAACTTTTGAACATGCAGACTGAGCGAATGCAATAGGAAGTCAGAGCCCGATGTCTGTTTATCCTCAGGTATTTTTCAGTGGTGAATATTGAGGTTGATACCTACAAACGGCAACAGAATCATGAAAGTGTACCGGAGACTTATAAATATGTTTGGACTGAGGAATCTCTCCCTGCTGCCCCCTGGTGCAGAAGCTTGGAGCTGCAGACGTGCGCTTCCTAACTAAGCCTGCTTGCTTTTCATAGCCTCTCCTTTTCTTGTGTCTTCTCTAAGTTTTCCCTAGCATTTTCCTAGCACTTTGGGCTTCCTTACTCTCTAAATCTCTCCTCCCTGTCCTGGGGCTTTTTCTCCATGTGTCTGACCTCCACACCAGCTTTAAATGGCATGGCTTTTCCGTTCTTTCCTCCACTGTCCTCCTCAGGGCAGCTAGTGAGTTTTACAGCTTGCCTTTCTTGGGATTTTCTTTTAAACTTCATTAAAATTGTCCTTAAGCTTCCGTTTGAGCCCATTAGTGTGTGTGTGTGTGTGTGTGTGTGTGTGTGTGTGCGTGTGTGTGTGTAGAGAGAGAGAGAGAGAGAGAGAGAGAGAGAGAGAGAGAGAGAGAGAGAGAGACAGGCTCTCCCATAGCCCCAGCTGTCCTGGAACTCACAATGTAGACCAGGTTGGCCTTGAACTCACAGAGATCTGCCTGCCTCTGCCTCCCAAGTACTCAGACTACAGGTGTGCACTACCACGCCTGGCTGAGTCTATTCTTAAATCCAATGCTGAGTCTATTCTTAAATCCAATCTTCGAACCCAATCTTCACACCTCCTTCCAGTTGCCAAATGGAGAAACAGTAGCTTTGAGAAATCAGACTTGCTCTTTCCAGTGATCAGTTTTGTCCACCTGTTTTCCTATGTCACATCTTTGTGTTCAAGGAAGATATATATTGCAGGATCGATGTCTACAAACTATTCTAGCTTTCATCTCTTAAGTGTGAGTTGCAGAAAAGGGAAAAATATCCCTCAAACTGGAGCAACAAAATGGAGGCCAGTAGGCTCGGAAAGCAGGAATGGCTGTCTGGGGTGCGAGACAAGACTAGACTACGCTGTTGAGAGTTCAGCAGTAGAAACTCACCAAAGCTAGAATTGGGAAAAAAAAAAAAAAAGTAGACTTCATCATCACCCATTAATTCTACCTCAAAATTCACCAAAAACTACATTTTTCTTCTTCCAGGCTTTCATGCTAGCTTGACCTTGACGTTTCTCACTTGCATAACTGTCTCCATTTGACCACTTATGTCCCTCCTGCCCCTCCACAACTTCCCCTAGGGTTGGTTAATCCTGTGCAGGGGAAGCTGCTCTGGGGTAACTCCTTTGGCTTCTCCCAACTGGAAGCCAGTGGGCCATGGCTGGCTGGCAGATGACTTTTTGGAGGTCCTTTAGCAGGTGAGCAGTCTTACCCCAGTCACTGTTGTATTGACTTAAGCATTTAGATCTAGCCTTACCTCCCACAAGACACTGGAATTCTGCCACCTCTGATCTGCAGTATATGACTCAAATACTGCAGCTGGTGTGGCCTTTCTAAAATACACACTAAAAATTAAAATGCAGCTTAATTGATGACTGTCTAGAATTATTCATTCAGTAAATATTTACGTGTGCCCATGATGTGCCGAACATGGGCAGGGAACTAAACAGACCAAAACTTGCCTTCATAAAGCTTACATGTGATTAGAGACAGCGCTGTTGAGATACAGCACCTCAGATAGCTTGGAGTGCTGAAGGCATCTGCAGTAGGTTTGTCTGGCTGCCTAGTGATCCCTGCCTGATTAAGCACTGTTCCTTTGAAGGAACGCCTCTTCTGCTCTTCTAGCCGAATGACTCAGGAACTGCTGCCTAGGGGAGACTCATCTGTCCCCTAGAACAGAAGCTAGCCAAAGGGTAGCCAACAGAAAGCCTGTGACCCTGGCCTTGGGGATTTTTACTAAGGAGTGAGCCTATGGCCTTAGTCATGAATCCACGTAAACTATTAAGAGCTGTGAGGGGAAAGGACAGAGGAGTCTAACATCATGCAGCCCAGTGTAAGGCTGTTGAGCACTGGGCAAGGTCCTAGTTTTCCAAGGTGGGGCTTAGGTTTTCCTTTCTATAAAGGGAGAGGGCTGCAATGAAAGGCAGGAAGAGGAGGTTCACATCTGGGCTTTGACAGGCTACCCTTATACACATTTTTTTTTTTTTTTTTTTTTGGCTTTTTGAGACAGGGTCTCCCTGTAGCCCCAGCTGTCCTGGAACTCACTATGTAGACCAGGCTGGCCTTGAACTCACAGAGATCCGCCTGCCTCTGCCTCCCGAGTGCTGGGATTAAAGGTGTGAGCACCACGCCCGGCGTTACCCACATTTTTTTTTAAGACAGGATCTGTTTGTAGACTCAGCTGGCCTGGAACTTGCTACGTAGACCAGGCTGGCCTGCCCTTGTCTCCTGCATGCTGGGTAAAGGCATGCACCACCATGTCCCAGGTACTTTCTTTACTGGCTTCCTGTTGACTGCAGAAGGGCCAGAGGAGAGTCCTTGTCAGTGCACACCTGCTAGATGGTAGTTTTTTTTGTTTTTTTTTTGGTTTTGTTTTGTTTTGAATGCCTTTCTTACTTAGAAAATAAAGGCAATCGGGACCAACTGCCATTAAAACGTTGGAGGTTACTACAAATTCACAATTCTGAAATCCATGAGGCTCTGAAAATCAAATTTTTTGAGTTGCTAAAAAATCTGAAATTTATGTAACTATGAATGCACTTTAATGTGAACCTAAGTTCTTTAGACCATGGGGTCTATTTTAGAAACATGCTCCGAATAGTCTAAAAAAATATATTCCTCTCTTGAATGCATGGCCAGCGGGTTTTGGATAAGCTTACCAGTCTTTCTCCAGTGCTCCTTAGGGACCAGAGAATTTCCTGTGTGACTAGGGTGGTCACAGCCTTGTGTTATCAGTATCATCCTTATCTTACCTAGCACTGGCTCAGGGGTCCAGCATACCACAGATAACACAAATGTCCAGCTCAAAAGACATCTTGAAACATGGCAGAATTTGAATGGAAAAAAGGTGGTATGATATAAAATAGCTGTATTTTGAATAGGATTCTAAATAGAATATGACTATTTCTTGGTTGGAAGAGAAATGAAGTATCAGGCATTACTGAAGACAAGGAAATAAAAGACCAGGCTTTCAGTAGTTTGCTCTGAGACAGGAATATTTGAAAGGCAAATGTTAGTTCTGCTCTCCCCGTGGGCTTCAGAATTTACCCCACAAGCAACATTAGCCTGGACATCAGCTGGCACTGCTCAGCAGCACATAATCAATAGGTTATGTTAAGATGGGGCTGTTGCTCAGTGGCAGGATATATGGCAAGCATGTGGAACGTTCTGGGTTTGATCCCCAGCACTAAAGGGACAAAAAAAAAAAGGTAAATTCAGATGATAAAAATATATGAAGCCAGCAGGTTACCTGAGTGGGTGATCCCCTGAGTGGGTGATCCCCTAAGAGTCTGCATGAGATGGATTTCTATGGTAAAAATTCCAACAAACCAGAATTATGAGACATAAAAACATTTTTAGTGAGAAAATATTAAAAGTTTAGCACACTTTTTCCATGTAATACAATTTTGACAATGCTATTTTTGAAGACCATGAACTGCAGTTGAGCAAATACATTTTTGACTTGGCATGACAGTCAGCTACACAACCCTGAGTACATAGCCAGCATGCACCTAACTGCTGCTTAGGGAAGTCAGCTGTACTGACTGTGACAAAACTAATTTTGCAAAATATGTGATATGAACTTTACTGAAAAGGGGAACTATTTTGAATTACATAGTCCAGGGAAAGAGAAGGTAATACAGTTCTTAGGACTAAAGGCTTCTCTGGGGAGAATAAGAGACATGATATACTCCCCAGCCAGGCACAGTGGCACATTTTTAGTGCCACCACTTGAGACCAGAGAAAGGAATTCAAAGCCAGTTTGGGCTATATGTCAAGACTTTGTCTCAAAATTACAAAAAGAAAGGAAAAACCCCAATCACCCAATGTCTGGTAACAAAGACCAGGAACCACTGAAGAACTACTCAGTGCAGTATGCCTGGGTGTGGAGCCAACAGGATGGTGCCCTCTTGGATTGCAAATGATGTGCATCACCCAATTAGATACTCTGTAATTAAAACCCAGGGAAATGAAAAAAAGAATCATGCATACCACACTATATACACAAACATGTTTAAAAAATATTTTAATGAGCGTATCAGAATGGCAGAAGGAGATGGGAGAGGGGACATATTTTACAGTGCAAAATTATTATGCATAAATTTAAAAACATCTAATTCATAATTTTGAATGTCTATTTAAATATTATTTGAAATACATTTTAAAGCCCAACAGATCTGTGTTGAACTGAATTACAGATTCTGAACCTTACAGAGAAAATACATCATAAAACATTATACATTCCAAATGAAAATGACAGTGCTCTGTTAGGGACTAAATGACTATTAACAAAGGCTTTCCTTTTTCGAAACAGTGTCTCATGTATCCCAGGCTGTCCTCAAACTCACTATGTAGATGAGGATGACCCTGAATTTCTGATTCTCCTGCCTCCTCCTCCCAAGTGCTGGGATTGGAGATATGCACCAGCTGATGTGGTACTGGGGATGGAACCCAGAGTTTCATGCATACTGAGTGCTCTACCAGCTGTGTTACATCCCCGGCCCCTAACAAAGGTGTCTTTTCTCAGTGCGATTTATGGAGTTCAAGAGTTAATGAAATGTAATAAATCTTAAGCAAATTAAAGTCCTATTACTAAAATGTTTCAATAGTGCAATGACTTATCAAGTTATAGTGACTGCATTATGAACAAAGTGTGAAATTACCTGTAGAAACACAAAATATGCGACATATTTATGAAAAGCTGAGCCTTATGTAATAGTGGAATGTTTTTCATTATGCATACTTTAAGAAGAAAAGTAAAATTTACTAATATTTATACACATGGCACATTTGCCAACATGCCTGAGAATTTACTTAAAATGTCCTATAGGAATAGTTTCAAGAACGTCACAAACCTGCATACCAGATGCATCTTTTTAAAAAGGTGAAAACGGCACCTCTAATATTGCAGTTACTAAAAGTGCAGCATCACTCCTCTTCTAAAACATTTCCAAAGACCATCTTTGATGAAGAGCTAAGATGCTCTAGGTTCAATTCTTAAAACTTGATTCAGGAGATGGACTGTAGCTGGATGAGGTGGAAAACCCTCTAATCTCAGCACTCAAGAGGCTGAGGCAGAAAGATGGCAAGTTCTAGGCCAGCCTGGGCTACAGAGTAAGACTCTGTCTTAAAAAGTGGGAAGGACAGGGGGAAAGACCATGATCATCTGCTAAAGCTATGTGACCTACTGCCATTCTAGATAAATTAATGTTTTCAGTAAAACAAACAAAAAAAACCCCTCATGCTTCTCAACACTTCCACCTGAAGTTCTGATTTACTTGTGTATCTGTGTAGAAACACTGAATGTACGAATTGCTGTAAAAGTGGCTTCTAACACTGATTGGGGGGAAAACAAAGTATTCGCTTTGCAAAAGAAGTAGTCTGATCAAATGTTAGTAAAAATACTTTGAAGAATAAGGCCTAGAAGATAATTTCTTAGTGCAAACCTCTACTCAAGCCGCACTAGACAACTGAGCCGTTAAAAGGACCACTGAAGATCTTTTTAAAAGGCATCAGCTGTTGAACTGATGGCTGAGAACAAATTGAAAGAAACATTTGGGATATGCCTCTGTGAAAAAAGAATGGTTAATAATCTTTTATTTAAAAAATTTTGAAACAGATTGGTCTATCAGCTGTAAAAAACTACATTTAAACAAGCGTTTTGCACAAAAATAAAATGGCACCCTACAAGGCTACCGTACATAGATAATCCTATTTAAAAATTACATAGGGCAATGATTATTTTGTATTTGTTTCATTTTGGAAAAACCTGATTGTAACTGGAAAGGTTTGAAACTTCTAAAACCACTATTTTCTCATGAAATCCATACTGCTGCTTGTCAACAGTGACTCCCTGGATGTGCCAATATCAAAACATCATTTGATCGTCCGTTAATTTAATGAAAGAGTGGGAAATCTTATAATGCATATAAAAATAACTGAGCAGAAGTCTCATCAGCACGATACATTTTTAAGCACTGACACAGACAATGAGCCTTATTCTGCTTCAAAAGCAACTTTGAAAATTGCAAAGCTTGTTTTGTTTGCTTTTTGTTACAATCTGAGTATCATGCCGAACTTCAGAATTCCCAAACTATTTGTCCATAAGTAGAAGCTTGGAGAAAAAAAATGTTCATAATCCTTTACCACCTGGATAAGAAACATGACTTAGTTAGTTACACAAACACTTACAAATTGATTAGAAAAACCTTAGCAAAATAAGATGAAAGCTGACAGACTCAGAATCAGTTCCTCTCATAAAAGTTTACCAACTGTACAAGTTAAGAAAATTATACAAGCTTTTGTATTAAGAAAGGACAGCTCAGTCAAGACATATGTACTGTAAAAATCTTTCAAAGGCTACAAAGAATCTGGAAAAATACAGAATGTATTTCTTAAGCCCAGATAAGAATATGGAAAGACATCATTGATGTCAACAATTTTACATATACAAACCTGACTTGGTTTATTTTTAAACTTCTATATATAAAAAAATCATGCTAGCATAACTTTCAGGATTCACAAGGGTTTCCTCAGTGGTGATTGTTTAATTTGTATGGAGATAAAAATGTCTGTGGTAAATACATTTCAAGAAAATCAGAAAAAGTGGTGTTAAGCAGAAACAAAAAACTTGTTTTTCCATTCTTCCTTATCAGACTAAGGAAAAATTACCTCTTCGTGAAATTTTATGTTTAGTGTCTCAAATGAGACGGTACATATAGGTCTTTGGGTCATCCGTATTTACCAAACCTTTTCTTTTTATATCCTTAAAAAGGCCTTTAACAATTTGGAAGTAAAAGAACCTACAAAAGGGAATATGATGCAATCTAATTTCCTACAGTTAGGGCATAATTCATATTTTCAAGTTTTTTTAAACCAAAGGTTTCAAGGAAATGAACTTTCTAAAGGTAACCCATCAACCCTGAAAATTTCAGTCATACCAGAATTTACTGCAAAGAAAGTAAAGTAGGTCTAAGACTTAGTCATTTGTGTTTTCACGATCTTCAAATTTTCCATGTGAGATTGCTTCTTGGAAAAATTCAGAAGAACCTGGACTTTCTTTTCCACTACTGTTTATCCGTCGCCTTTTGGTGGGTCTCTCACTTTTTTCATCAAAGTCATTTTCATTTCTTGCAGTCATATGGGCAAGTTTTGGGTCAGTGGTTAGGGTATCTGCTTCATAACCATTAGTGTCCATATCTGTATGAAGTGGTTTCTTATCTCCGCTTGTTGGTCCATTTACATGTAACCCTTCAACTTTTACTTCTTCTTTATTTAATATTTCACCTGGTCCATTGGATGACACACCTAAGTTGGAAGAATGATAAATGAAACTTAATAAAAAAAGTTATATCCGTAAACTATTGTAAAACAACTACTACAACATAGCTTTTCAGTAAGGAAGCAAAGTATCAAACCTGCACACCTGCACACACACACACACACACACACACACACACGGTTTGAATTCTGGGTCTAGTGCTCACTAGCTGAGACAGTAGGCAAGGTCTTTACACACCACACTTCAGTTTCATTAGATACAATGACGATCAAAACAAGTTTATGTCACAGGGTTGCTGTAAAGATCAACTAAAACGACAAAGAACAAATACGAGAAATTTTGCATGTATTAAGAGCATACTAGATATTATGTAGGAACAAACTGACATTGGTTCCAGCAGTCTAAATAGGCAAAATTAGCAAAGAAGTATTAATAAACGATTGTCAGCGAAATGGCCGACTACTTAAAAAGTACATAAAAACAAAATCAGTGTTATTTATTACAGAAGCTTAAATTCTCTACCACATTTAAGATCAAGGTGCGATGACTTGCATTCTCCTGCTTCCACCACCTCCCGATGCTTGTAACACGGGCACCTGCACCCACTCCTGATCCCATTTCTTCATTCTTAATGTACACTCATTAACTGGCATTGTGCTTCAAAAGGTCTCATGACATGTTTAGCTAGGTAGGTTTAAATTCCCTACCATCATGACAAAAATTAGTGCTGCAATGCCCAAACATACATTTCCAAATGCTCGTGGTAAACAAGAATTCTGGCTGGGCAGTGGCACAGTTGATAATCCCACAGGAGGTGAGGTCTGAAGATGGAGAATCTGAGGCCATTCTGGCCACACAGCAAGCCCTTGTCCCAAAGAACAAAACAGCAGAATCTTCCACAATAAGCAGGAAAAGTAAAATTCTTTTAAGTATTTTATTATTTTTATTTTATGTGTATGTGTGTATTGCCTGGATGTAGGAAAGTGCACCCGTGTCGTGCAATGCCTGCGGAGGACAGAAGAAGCTGTCAGATCCCCCAGAACTGGAGTTACAGACAGTGTTAGCTGCCATGTGGGTGCTGGGAACAAACCCGGGTCTTCTGCAAGAACTGTCAGTGTTCTTAACTGCTGCACTATCTCTCCAGCCCCTTAAGATTTATTTTTATGTGTATGGTTTCCCTGCACATATGTATGTGCACCATGTGTATACTGGTGTCCTTAGAGGCCAGAAGAGGACATCTGTACTCTGAAATTGGAGTTAGACGGGTGTGGACCATGTTGGTGCTCTTAACTGCTGAGCCATCTTTCTAGACCCCAAAGTACAGTTATTCTAATTAAAACAAGTAATAAATGATGTACACTGGCTTTACCCTTTCTCACTTTTCAAGGTTAATATGCAAAGTGAAATACTCGAAATTCCCTTATTAACTACTTCTTTTCTATATTATGAAAGCTTTAAAGTGTTATAAGCTCTCAAGCTATTTCATAAAAAAAAAATTGTGTTTCTGATGCAAAGTGGCTGGAGTTTTGGTCTCAAGTTAAAAGCATTATCCCAATCAGATAAGAAATACTACTGAACACAAATTTCTTAAAAGAAATAGTCACTGCTGGTAGCATGCTTTATTAACTTTGTTTAGTTATGCCATTCAGAATTCTTTGCAGAATTCCAATTACTTCGTATTCTCTGTGTTAGAATATATGTATGCTGACATTGTATTTCATATGCTATTTACATTTTCAGCTATGGAAGTTTAAAGTGAACTTCTTTGTGCTACTGAAAGTGTCCCTCACTATGAAGAACTAGGAATGCTTCTTCAGTTACTTACCATTTTGATTATTACTGCTGACAGTGCCGTCTTCTTTTTCTGACTGGCTGTTACTACTATTTGAGGCAGTTGGGGGAGGGGATGGAGCGCGACTAGAGGCAGCACTTTCACTCTCATCCAAAAGACGGTCCATGTAATCCCTTAAAATTAGGTGAGATAATCAATTATCTTTTTACATTAGAAAACTGAAAATGAAAGGTAGCCGAAGTTAAATTCACATCTCATTGCTACAAATACAACCCGGTTGTCACCTACTTCCACTACAGTGCCTCACTACTGCACTAGGATCTAACCATGTAATCTGGAAGCTTCTTTTGGTTATGTGTTTGTAGGGAGGTGTTAAACAGCAAACTTTAAAGACGCACAATAAATTTAAAACCTTTCAAATGTGCACAAGTGCTCAAAATGGCCCAACTAAAACTGGATTATTAAGTGAGGGGATTAGGGATGATGGCATCAGGAGAACAATTCAACAGAAAAATTAACAAGTCAGTCCCAGGATAATGTGCTCTCAACTACAGACTTTGATCTTAAAAATAAGAAAATTCACTTGAGTTTTAATTTAAAGCTATGAACCATATTTTATGCAATCACTTAATATGGAACTATTAACAGAAAATGTAAGCAGGTCAAATAAGTCTCACAGAAAAATAATAATTTCTGCCCATAGGAATAATAATGTACAGTCTGGTCAATGCCTCTTTCTTTATTTTTATTAATGTATTTTTAAAGACAGGGTCTTGATATGTTGATCTGACTGGTCAGAAACTTATTATGTATTGAAGGCTAGCTTCAAATTCATGGAAATCCTCCTGTTTCAGATTCCTGAATGCTGAGATTAAGGTGTAAGGGACCATACCCAGCTGGTCACTGCCTCTTATTAAAAGAAGTAACACAAGAAAAGAGACTGCGTCTCAGTAAAAATGCTACAGTTCTTTTAGTCTGAAGGAAAGAATGGAAAAGAAGAAAAGCAAGCAAGGAAGTATTAATTCATAACCGAGGGAAAAAAGAAATAGGTTACCCTTATGATTTCTCCAGCTACAGAAAACTTAACCTTAAGAGAAATTAAAATATAAGTACCCTCAAAAAGTTTTCAGTAAGATTATTAGATAAACTAGAATGTTTGATGGTATAACCCTGCCTAACCTACTGCACCAACTGAGCCAGCCAGCCCTCAACACTTCCTTTGGTGATGCGCTCTGAAAAAGAAAAGTGGATGAACCAGGGGTCTCACCCAGCAGAGCAACTGTGTTCTCACTGCTCGTGGCAGTCATCATGTGTAAACACTATTTCTGAAACTAGTTTTTTTAAAAAAGATATTACTATTTTCTTTTATAGAATAGATGGAAAACCACAACTGTTTTCAGATAAACTCTATAGTCTGGATAGATATATCTAGTCCTTTATCACTTTTCTTGAATATTACCACTGAATAATCCAGAAAAATAAGTAAAAGCAGTTATATACTTACGAATTAAATTCATTAAATTATCAATTGCTTTAATAAGCAATGATATATACTCATTTATTCCTCTGTGTGTGTGTGTGTGTGTGTGTGTGTGTGTGTGTGTGTGTTACTCAAGATGAACAAAGGGCTTTCAAACACGTTAGGCAACACTCAAACACTGAGCTACCCCTTAGCTCACAGGTAATTCCAACACTCGAAGGCTGGCAGGATTACTGGGAATATGAGGACAGCCAGAGCTATGTAACAACATCCTGCCGGGGTGGGGGAGATTAAATTGAATGTAATATTATCAACAATATGCTGTTCTGTTCCATTTTTCTTCAAAAACACCTAATGAAATTATACACCTTAAACCTTGCTTTAGTAACACATTTGTTGCCTTAAAATAATGAACAGTGGCTTACAATTTTAAGACAAGGAAACTTTACATGCGCTGTAAAGACATGCCAATTGATAGATTTTAAACCAACATAAACTGCACTTTGAAAGATTACAAAATTCATAATTTTTTAAAGAAAAATCTAGGAAAGCTTAGAAACAACTCACGTTACACCAGGATGAAGATTATATTTCTTTTTTCCAAATCTTGTTTGCTGAGCAAAGAAATCGTAACGCTCAGATTTTTTCCACATGTAGTAAAATGCTACGCACTCACCAACTGATCGTGTTCGGACCTGTAAGAAAAAAATGCTTGTTTTTAATAAGCTTCTTAACAGAGTTGCTTCATGAGAAACATCTAAAGTTTGAAAAAAGGGCTATTCCTTACTATGTGATACATGATATGTATGAAACGCTACACTATGAAATGCAACACGACAGCAACTGCTGAAATCTGTTTTTTCTAAACTTCCGTTAAGGAAAACATTGTATTGATAACTACATTAGACATTTAGCATTCTGTTTAATTCACAGCTACCACCACCATAGTAACTTACAATACAAAAATATTCCTCTACTAAAAATGGGAGTGACAATTAGGCTAAAATGAATGTGCTCAAGTCCTTCTTACTTAGCAGACAACATAGGGAGTCCAGATTTAAAATTCTCTTGCAAATGATTCTCCACACATAGAAATATGAAACTAGACCCAAACCTCAAATCTTGTAGAAAAATCAATTCAAAATAAAGCACAAAGCTTAACACACGACCTGAAACCCTGGAACTGACAGAGATAAACACAGGCAAAACTCCTGAAGGCACAGACAAGGACTTTCTGAAAGGGACGGCAGTAACACTGGAAACAATCCAAAAATTGACCAATGGGATTGCACAAAATCAAACTGCTTCTGCAGAGTACAGGAAACTATCAGCAGAGTGAAGAAACAACCCACAGAACAGGAGAAAATCTTTGCCGTCTATTTATCTGACAGATTAATTACCTACAAAATAAAGAACTTTAAAATGGCCAACAAATACTTGAAAGTATGTTCAACATCTTCAGCTACTAGGGAAATACAAATGAAAACTGCTTTGAGATTCCATCTCACCCCGGTCAGAATGGCTTATCATGAAAAAACAAATGAAAACAAATGCTAGCAGGATGTAGGGAAAGAGGGACACTCACACACTGCTGGTAGGACTGTGAACTGGTAGGAACACTATGGAAAATCAGTATGGAGGTACCTCAAAAACCTGAAAATAAAACTACCATGTTTCCTAGGTATCTACTAAAAGGTTTTAAGTCAGCACACAACAGAGATACCTGCACACCCACGTTCACTGCTGCACTATTCACAACAGCTATGCAATAGCACCACCATGACTGGAGAGGTGGCTCAGTGGTTAAGAACACTGGCTGCTCTTCCAGAGGACCCAGGTTCGACTTCTAGTCCCCACATGGCAGCTAACAACCGTCAGTAACTCCAGTTTCAGGGAATCCAACATCTTCCAGGCCTCCATGAGCGCTGCATGCATGTGGTACACTTACATACATGCAAGCAAAATCATACAAATAAAATAAAAACAATAAAATATTTTAAAGAAATTGCACCAGCTTAGATGTCCACCAACATATAAAAGGATATGAAAATGTATATATACATATTGGGATTTTAGTAAGCTATAGAGAAGAATGAAATCAGAACACTCTCAAAAAAACTGGACTTTAGAGATCATTATGTTCAGCAAAATAAGCCAGACTCGGAAAAACATTGCTTGTTTTCTCTCATATGAAATCCAGACTTAAATTTACATATGTGTACACACACATGCGGTTAAGGGGAGAGTTAAGAGAAGGTAACAGCATATACATGTCATCAAAGCATAGGGGGTTATTTAGGAGGATGAAGAGGATGAACAAGGGGAAAGCTAGTGGTGGTGAGGGAAGGCAAGGGAAAAATTATGATCAGTATGTGTGAAACTCACTCCTTTGTATGCTAACCAAACAGTCAAAAATGAACTGGAATAAAACACTAGCTGAGGTATGATGATAGATGTCTACAACCCCAGTTCTTTGGAGGTAGAGGCAGAAAAATCAGGAGTTCAATCATTCTTAGCTCACAGCTAAGTTTGAGGACAGTCCAGGATATATAAGACTGTCTCAATGAAACAATGAAACAAACCACCTTCAAAAATTAACCCCCGCCCCAAATAATTCAATGAACAAATGGGCTAGTGAATGGAATAAACGGTTCTTAAAGAAATACAAATGGCCAGTTAAAGAAAAAGATTCTCTTATTAGTTCCAAAAGCAATCCAAGTTCATGTACTTTCCAGAAAGTCTAAAAATATGCCACAGGGAAATGAAATCTACCATAATAGTGCTTATGCACTGTTTATTAAGACACTGCTGTGGATTATGGAGCTGGACCAATTTATGTAAGGGTTCCTCTAAATAATGCTGACAAAATCTCCTTTTGTGCTACTTAGCTTAGAGAGTTGGTAGTTAACATATATATTAAAATATTGCTTAAAGGAAAAAGGTATGTGTACTAAATGTTCTGGAAACAAGATAATACTGCTGTAATCCATTAATTTCTGCTCTTATGCAGCTTTGTTTCGGCACTGACTTCATCTGCTGTTGATGACGCCTTCCCTTATCCCTTATTTCCGTTCTTCCCCTCTGCTTGAACTTTACAATTTTCACCCGTTTTGCTCTGAGATGGAAAGCAATCAGGGCTTTAAAAAAGTTCTCGCAAAGCTTTTTTCTCTTTTTTGGTTTGTACAGTCTCATTTTTAGAATGATTTTAAATCAACTGTACTTAAAGCAAAAAATAAAGATATTTTGGGGCATGCTAAGTTACCATTATAAAAACAATCTTCAGTAAAATAGGCCTATCATATCAGAAATTATGGTTAACATCTGAATTTTAATTCTGGTTATATAAAAATAACCTCTTGATGTTTTCACCGTGGCCCCTCAAAGAATTACAGTTCTCCCTTTGTTCATTACAGCAATTAATAGTATGCTAGATGACTTCTATAGTATTAAAAGATCACCATCTCAAATATTTATAAAGAAATCAAGGTCATATTCTTAATACGGCAGATGGTCAAGACTGGATCTCAGTTTCCAGCTACGTAATGAGTTGTTTAAAAAAAGGCAGGGGGGTGTTTTTGCACCTGCCCCTTCAAGAATGGCCTCCACAGGCAATCCAGTATGCATGGTTAGCAGTATTTGCATTCAAGCAGGAACATTAGAAAAATTTAAATATCCTTTCTTTTTTATTAAAAAAATATTTGGAACTGTAGTTATGAAAGGTTGTTTGCCATCACGTGGGTGCTGGGAACTGAACCCCGGGTCCTCTTTAAGAGCAGTCAGTGAGTCATCCCTCTAGCCCTTAAAATGTCCTTTTCAATCAAGCAACAATGGATTTAAAAATAAATTTAGTGACAGGCACAACGAATACAATGTAATCTTCCCCAGAGTGTTACTATATCAGATTTGGACACATCAGGGGTATTACATTATTTTTAAGATTTATTTTATTTTTAAATTTTGTGTGTGTGTGTGTGTGTGTCCATGAAAGCAGATGCCCACATAGGTCAGAAGAGGATGTGGGATTTCCCACAGCTGGAATTACAAGTGGTTGTGAACTACCATGAGGGTGCTAAGACCTGAACTCAAGTCCTCCAGAGGAGGAAGAAGTGCTTTTAACCACCAGTTCAGAAGAGGCATTACATTTTGGACACCAAATGCATTGCCTAAGTCTTTCTAAAAGCACAAACTCACATTTTCTCGTTCATTGTTGATACTTTTGTTTTTAAAGATTAATGTTTATTTATGTGTATTAATTAAAGATTAATGTTATTTAAGATTAATTATTTAAAGATTAGTGTTTATTTATGTGTATACTTGGGTGTCTGTGTGTGAATAAGTAAGGGTGAGTGTAGGTGCTCATGGAGGACAGAGGCATCAGACGCTGGAGTTGGAGTTAGAGGCCGGTGTGAGCCACCTAACAAGAGTGCTAGGAACTGAACTCAGGCCCACTGCAAAGTATGCAGCGAGTGATTCATTACTGATGTTCAGTATTAGTTAACAAAATGCTGCAATATAATTAAGAATGAAGTAGTGAATGCACTACAAAATAGGGAAAATGAGTTCACAACTTGTAAGCATATTCATTCATATTAACTACGTACTGAAGCGAAGCAACCGGATACTAGTCACAGCTAGAAGTATCAAAAGAATAACACACTGAATTAGAGCTTTAGACATAAGCCCTAATACTTTAAACATGGGTCCACACAAGGTACCACACAAAAAAGCTCTCCTCAAGGAAATACGTACGTTCACTGCAGTCATTAAAAATTATATAATGCTCATAGTCTCCTGTATTTGTGCTGAGACTGCCTATCACAATCTCCTCACACAAACAACTAATTTTCCTATTTTATAAAATAATGTAGTTACTATTAAAAATCTTACATGAATTCTGTTGCAAGATTTAAAGCCTTAAGGAAGGGTTTACAAGACAGCTCAGCAGGTAAAGGTGCTTGCCGCCAAGGATGATGACGCGAGTTTGATCCCAGGGTCCCACCTGGTAAGTCAAGAACCAATTCCCACAAGTTGTCTTCTAACCTCCACACGTGTGCCATGGTACTCACACCTCCCTACCTTCATGTGTAATAAAATTTAAAAAAAAATTAAACCCTCAAATCTGAAAGTAATTTTGAAATTCTTTGGAATACCATATCTGATATATAACTATGTAACTGATGTCAACATGGAATGTTAAATGATCATGTCAAGCCTACTTTGTTAGAGTCTTCTAAAAAATACTAAGAATATGATTTAGACTAGGCATGATGGCTCACACCTTTAATCCCAGCACTTGAGAGACAGAGCAGCAGGCAGCAGGAGAATATTCGCAAGGATATTTGTGATGTAAGCCTGGTCCATAGTGCGCTCCAGGTCAGAGAGAAATACTTATTAAGACCCTTTCTCAAAAAAAAAAAAGAAAAGCATATGATTAAAAGGCTCTAAGAACTTATGTGCCTACAATAAATTTGTTATTGCTGCTTTGAGATAGGGTCTCACTGTAGACCCAACTAGCCAGGAACTCCTTATATAGACCAGAGATCCACCTGTCTTTGGTTCTGGAGTACTGGGATTAAAGGTGTGAGCCACTATGCCCAGTTTGTAATAAATATTTTAATTGTGGGTCAGTGAGATGGTTTACCAGGTAAAGCCACTTGCCATGCAAACATGACAACCTGATCTCAATCCCCAGGCCCCATGTAAAGGTGGAAGGCAAGAACTGGCTCCAAAAAGTTGTCCTTTGATCTCCACATACATGCTACAGTGCAGGCTCCGCCCCCCCAACACACAAATAATCTGTGTTGAAAATACTTTAAAAAGATTTTTAAAAGACCCTCCTTAAAATACAGATGATGGAAAACAGCTGTAAGTAAGTGTATTGCATACATAATCTGAGCTGACTAACATAACTGTAAATGAGTTTAACACTTAAATATTCAGTTATTATACACCAAGAACAGTCCCATGGCAAACTGATGTCAGGAAGTCTAGGTATGCTTACTGTAATAATTAGTTGTCAATTAGAGGATTCTAGTATTTATTACAGAAACTTTAATGCTAGAAAACAGTAAATTAGGATACCATGATAATTTAGGTTATTACAAATTTGTTTTTGTAAAAAAGAGAAGATAAATCATTACTTACCTTATTGGCCTGAATCAAATGAAAATCTTTTCCATAGGCCTTCAGCCCTTGTTCAAAATTTCTACACTCTTCCTCTGTCCAAACAGACAATTCCTCTGACAGAAGGGGGAGGGGGAGCAAACTGTTACATATATGACAAAGAAATTGCAAATAAAAATGTAAAATGGGCAAAAATTTAGGGAAACATTTTACTACTGAATGATTTGTTTCCTAATTCTCCAATCTCAACTTGGCTACTTTCTCCTTGTTAGTTTTGGAGACAAGGTCCTGCTATAGTTCCAAGCAGGTTTCAAACTTGTGACCCTTTGGCTGTGTGCCACTACTCATAGCTCCCCTTAGTTCTTTCTAGCCCAACTATGGGCTTTTCAATCCCTTAAATTTGCTGAGTTTTCTTACTTCAGACTCTACAGGGAATGTGCTGCCCAATTTCATCCTCTTTCACCAACATCATCTTTTTACACCCCAGTAAAGATATTTTGTTCTTCAAGTTTTTCCTCGAGGTCTCACCTAGACTAGTCTATGTTCAACTACAATGGTTTGCCTGTGAAGATTTCAACAACAGATTTCAGATCCCTGTTGGAGTTCCTAGGCAACATAAGGGACTGATAGAACTTAAGCCCTAAATTTAGGGTCCTTAGAAATTGGGCCCTAAACTTCTGTCAAGAGACTAGAGGTCAACCACCTCCTACTCATCCCTCTGTATAAACAGTACTTTTGGTGCAGTGGGGGTAGGAGTCAGATTTGGAGCAAAAAAAAAGGAAAAACTCAGGTTTTAATTATAGCTTGTTTTTGAATTACATTTGCCTCGGTCATAATACTTTGGTTCAAAGGACAAAATCTCACAATTTTATTTTTATTCTTTGCATTTATTTATTTGTATATGTGTGCAGGGCACGTGTACATGTGTGGAGACCAGGAGACAACCTTATAGAATCTGTTCTCTCTATCCCTACATGGGTTCTGGGTGTTGAACTCAGGTTGCCAGGCTTACACAGCAAGTATCTTTACCCACACAGCCATCTGACTGGCCCAGTCTCACATCTTAAAAAAATTTTTTAATGTATTATTTGTATTTTATGTGTATGAGTATACTGCCTGCATGCATGATAAAGTGCACCCATGTTCTGCAATGCCCATAGAGGTCAGAAGAGGGCATCAGATCCCTTTGAACTGGGTTACAGATGGTTGTTAGCTGCCGTGTGGGTGCTGGAACCAACCGTGGGTCCTCTGGAAGAGCAGCCAGTGCGCTTAACTGCTGAACCACTGCTCCAGATCCCAGTCTCACATTTTTAAAGATAAAGCAGTATGTGTCATATTACGTAGCTCATAGGGCTATTAAAATGAAATAAATTCTTTATAAATTTGTTTGAAATTATAAGGCATTATGAACTTCATATTTTCACTTAAACACCCTTATTTCCCATAAAAGAACAACCTTATTCCCATTCTCCATAATGCCTTGTGTGACACTTTTGTTCAAATATTTACTGAATTCAGAAGGAAGAGTATTATTCCATTGAAGACATATTTAGGTAAACTGAAGAGCTTAATTTTTCAATTTCTGCCAAATCATGAAAACAAAACTTTTAACATTGATGCTTACCTCGAGCTGCTTTTACATTAAATCTTAATCTTCTCAATGCTTCTTCTGTATCAAAATTGCATTTCACCAATTCATATAAAGCCTAGAAAAGTGAAAGTTTTCCATGTAAGACTCAGACAACAGAGTCCAGTCCAATGCTATTTCTCAACAGTAAATTTTTCTGAATTGTGCACTGGTTTTTATGCTGAGGCCAAATTTAAGTGAATGCAACAAAAAGGACACCAATGAAAAACACCAATTCAATCCTGATATTTAATGGTCTCTAAATATGCACAAAGTAGGACATGTAAATACTCTTAACCTGGTGACTGTGGTACCCCAGGACACAATGCATTAAAAACATGCATAAATGTCATTTTGTAGAAGCTGTAATTCTTTGTAGCCTTCTGAGATTCCTAATATAAGTTAAACAAGTCAAGAAATAAAAAAACAAAAACCATTGATAAGAAGGTTTAAAAAAAATTTGCTATTAGGCTCATGGCATTGTTCTGATCATGTACAGTGACGTTATCCAAGATGGTGCCAACTTGATCCTAGCCAGATTCTTAGCAAGATCTAAAAGGGTTCTCAAAAGTTGTACAAAATAGCAGAAACAGGCAGAATCGAGGTTTTTGTTTATCTGAGCTGAAATCTTATCAATGTGTAAGCACAATGACTGTGAGTCTTACAACCCTAGATTCCCTGCTTTGGTGGCCAGAGCACACACCTACACTTAGAAGTGCCATTTGAGGAAAACCTTAATTAAGAAACTCTACGTTTCTCACTCATGTACCTGTTCATTGTCTTTTATATGAGATCCTTCAGGAATTGCTTCTACACCTTTCTCGTCACCTGTTCTTCTAGATGCATCCTTAAGAAATATAATCACTTTATCTTCTGGTAAATATTCGGGATCCCACAGAAGCTGATCATCATTTTCATATACTACATGAATAAAGCAAAATGTTAATAAGAACTGATAAAAATTGACATAATTCATATAAAAGTATATCACTGAACAAATAACTTACTCTTTTAAAAAAGTATTTCTCTTCCTTCCCTCTTTCTCTGTGTGTGTGCCCATGCGCGCACATACTATGGCACAAATATGGAGGTGTGGTGGGAGTTGGTTCTCTCCAGGTGGGTCCCTGATCATAGTCAGGTCATCAGGCTTGGTGGCAAGCACCTTTATTTAGCCACCTCATAGTCTTAACTCACTCTCCTTTTAAAAACATTTTAAAATTTATTGTTCATTTTTATGTGTGTATCGTGCTTGCACATATGTAAGTGTACCCATGAGTGCAATGCTGATGGAGAACAGAAGAGGGCGCATATCAGATCTGTAACTGGAGTTACAAATGGTTGTTAGCCACCATGTGGGTGCTGGGAACTGAACCTGGGTCCTCTGCAAGGGCAGTCAGTGCTTTTAACCACCGAGCCATTGCTCTACCTCCCCTTAACTCATTCTTCAAACAGATAAAATTAGAGGCAAATGCTGAAAATCAAGAGGTACAGTGTGGCTGTACTATTTCCTTGCCTTAGCTCTTTCTCGGCTAATACTTATAGTCTAAGGGAATCAAGCAATCCACATGAAGCCAAAGGAACACTCCATGCCCCTTCAAACATGGTCTGACTTACCCTGAGCACGTCAGATTTCACAAATGCTTACACTGCAATGCCACCTCCACCACTCACTACCTAGTAGAACATGTTGGGCGCGTTCTTTGCCTCACTTGTGAAAAGAGGATAACTAGAATGCTAGCTATCACATGATGATGGAAAGAGTCAAAGCACTCTAAAACTTTCTGATGCATGTTAGGTTTCAATGGATGCTAGTTATAATTAATATGGTTTTGAAAAGACTTCTAGGACAATGTACATTTAATGCTGACTCTTTTTTTCCAGGCTATAGACAATGAACTTAGGACCTTGTGCAATGCTAAGGAAGCTCTCTAGTACTGAGCTACATCCCCAGCCCTTTTGTTGTTTGTTTTTGATACAGTGTCTTGATACTGTATACCAGGCTAGCTTCAAACTTTTAATCTTCTTGCCTCAGTCTTCCAAGTGCTGGGAGTGTGGGCGTGTGCCACCATACTCGGCTTTCTTAGCTTCTTTATGCTTTCTTATGGTACTTGCAAATGCATCATGATATATAAAACTTATCTTCATACAAACAAAAGTCCTAACTTAAAAAAAGTATTCCAACTTTACCATCATTTCCATTGTAATAAGAGTAAACCCTAAATCTCACCAAAATTTAAAAAGGGAAAAGGAGCATGACCCAAGACAAAGCCTTCTGGGATTCTGAAGAGCACTGGAAACACAAAATCCAGAAGGAACGATATAAAATGAAATTAATGCCCAAAACGTGGCACCGCAGACATCAGGAGATCAAAGTGTTTTCAAGTGTAATTTCAGGAAATTATTAAATCTCTCAGTTTTCTTAGGTGAAAACTGAGAACAGCAACAAGGAAGTGAAGGGTACGAGAACTGGAGCCGTTAGAAAAGGCGCGAGGGTAAACGGAGAGGGAAAGAAAGCACAAAACTGTTCTGAAAAGTCTGGTTATGAGGGTGGAGAGAGGCAGGAGATACTGAGGAAGTGGAGTTAACAAAGTTTGTTAGCCTTTGTTTTTAAACAGGAGACAAATATTTAAATGCCAGCAGGAAGGAAACCACATGATAAAAACTTTAAGGTAAAACGTGTCAAAATTCTTTGTATTGTGAAAATGAATTAAGAAGCTCATTAAGCACCTCCAATGCACTAAGCAGCTTGTCAGTGTTTCACATATTATCACTTTGTCTCTGTCCACATAAATGTACCTTTTTGTTTCTTCAAATATTCTTTTTATGAAGTATAGATCAAAGGACATATGCAGAGTCCTTCTATTCCTTTTTAACCTGCTCATAAAAGACTCCAAAATTGAAACACGACAGACTCTGTTGGTAAGTGTATTTGGACATAGTGCTACTGATTCTGCTCTCTACTCAACCTGTTCTGCAAAGAGAGCCAACTCTATGTTACTTAGGTCCTAAAGCTGTCTCAGGGAAAGAAGTGAAGAGCTGAGTCTCTGAGTCCCCAGTATTCTCCAAACTACATAACCCACTTAAGTGATGAAACAAATACAAACTATCTGGAAGACATTTCTAGAATCGCCAATAATAGTCTACAAATCCTAAGGCTGAGTGAGTGGTCAGCCATCACCAGATAGCACCAAATTACAAGAGTGACTCCTGGAAGGGTGGCTAAGTAGCTAGCCTTGAATGTTTATGAAGCCCAGAACAATATTCCTCATTTTAGATAATTACAACATAATAATGAGCATGAGGTAAGAGCAACCGGCATCTCTGTACAGCATCCACACTGCTTAAGCAGTAGGTATGCAACTGTAAATAAGTAAGACTTCAGAAAGTATATTAGGACAGATTAGAGAGAAAATTATGGTATCTTATTAAGGACTGACTCAGCAGCCATTAAATAAGACCCTAGATTCCATGTTTCCTGCTAAATGACAGATGAATCTTACGATGCTGGTCTGTGGACCTGTACTTATGCAGCAAGGCACTAACACAGCTTGTTTCAGCTGTTTTATTATGTACAATACAATCAGAAAAATGTAATAAAATCGAACTTGTCAAATAAGCAAGATGAACCCTCAAAATCATCTCACAAAGTTCACTGCATACAGTTGGCAAGGACTTTATGCAAGAATCAAGGGAGGGCTAGGCATTCCAACTAGAGAAAACAAAAAACTTGCCATGGGAAGCTGAGAGCCAACTTACAATGCCAGAAACCTCTGTAATCAATACATCTTTGTATGAAAATGCTGATCTATAATCTATATTGGGGTTTATCACAGAAATCGTCATATTCTTAAAAGGTCACACTGTAACCAACTGACATGGCCTTTAAATGATGTAGGTTTTTTTTTTTTTTTTTTTTTTTGAGACATAGGTAAACTCAATTGCTTGTTTCAAACACTACTATTACAGGCTGCACATCTCTAATCAGAAAAGATAAAATCCAACATGATCTGAAATCTGAAACACTTTTCTCAAATGTTTTGAATTAAGGCTATTCAACCTATACTAAGGGCAAGCTATATTTGTTCCTATCTCCCTTTTAAGTCAGATGTGGTGGCAGCATGCCTATAAACCCAGTTACTTAGGAGACTAGAGCAGATGGATTACCTGAACCCAGGAGTTTGAGAGGGCCTGGAGACACTTAAGTAAGGCACTCTCAAAAACAAAACAATAAAACCCAAAACAGCTCTGTGTGCTAGCAGACACTCAGACAAGAGAACTAGAAGCTTAAAGCCAACCTGGACTAGCATAAGCCCATCTCAAAGCATACAACTCTAACATAATACAAAATGAAAATAAATACCCTGTGTGTGTCACACAATTTACCCCATCCTTTATCATTTGCTACTTAGTAGTTCCTAGCCATCCAATATTTACATCAGCTGGGCACAGTAGTACACACCTTTAATTGCAGCACTCTGGGGACAAAGGCAGGCTCGTAAGGGGTCTACATAGAGATTCCGGGCCAATTGGGGGATATGTAGAGGTCCTGTCTCAAAATAGAAGTCATGAAAACTTGACTGGGACCATGGTTCATTGTTTCTTGGAATTATCTTTTGTCCTAAAGAAGCCATCTAATTCTATACCCAGTTCAGCTTCTCAAATAGGATCTTGACATTTTTGTGGTTGCTATCTAGTTCTTATAGAGAGCTATCTTGAGAACTGTATTAGTATTATCTCTAATCTATCACAAAATCAGTGTTTATTCAGCTTTTAAGATATATTATCCTTTTAAATTAATCATGTGTATATGTACATGTGCATGAGTACAGGTGCCAAGAGGGCAGGAGAGGGCATTAGATCCCCTGAAACTGGAGTCATAGGTAGCCATGAGCTGCCCAATGTGGGTGCTGGGAACTGAACCCAGGTTCTCTGCAAGAGCAGTATGTGCTCTTAACCACTGGTCATCCATCCAGTCCCTATTTAGCTTTTAGTATATCACAAAAACAATAAAGTACACACATAACTGAAAAATCACCTTTTTTAAGTACGGTGCTTTTTATCTGGCCAGCATCTTTAGGAATGAAGACTCTCCTGGGAAGAGGATGTGGCTCATGTGATTAAGAATGCTTTCCTAGTATGCATGCATGAAGTTCTAGGTTGGCTCACTAGCTGCATAAAATTGGGAGTGGTGGGGCAGGTTTATAATCACTTCTAAAGAATTTGGTATGAAACTTGTTTCTCAATAAAACTATTTTATCAAAAAAAATTTAGAACACAATTATAGCCATCTTTCTCGTGTGGTCTGGAGGTAGAAGAGGCCTAAGAATGAATAAATTAGGAGTCAAGACAAAGCAGTCTATTCACTTATCCCTCTGATCACAGTGATCTTTTACTGAAAAGTATGTGATTCAGGCTGGGTCAACAGAGGCTCTCTCTAAGATCTGTAGAGCTCCAAGGGATATGGAAGTTCTCATTTTTGCTTGTTCTTTAGTTTTAAAGACTGTGTAAAGTATTAGACAAGAGCTCCCAGTAGCCACTTTACTCTGACAACAAATCAGAGTAGGGAATAATTGATATCCTATGAGTGCCTGAATCCAGTTATACAAAACAAGATCAGCATAATTTCCCTAATTCTAGGAAAGCAACCCTGCAATGGTTTTTGCTAAAAGTAACTGAACTAGGTTTCTATTACCTGAAAATGTCACTTTCTAAGGTGGGAAAAGAAAAAAAATCTGATTAATAAAAACCTAAATACAGCAGGTAAAGTAATCGCCTATTGAATACTAACTCCATGTATAGAACACTATGTGTCAGACAAAAGAAAAGTACTACACAGAGTCATTCCAAAAATTCTGTAAATAAACAGGATTACTGTAATTCCAAAGATGAGAAAGAGTTGCATAACTCATCCAAGGACAGATGTAAGGGAATCACTATAAAGTCACCACCTTCCTACTGGCTTTGTGATACCATTCTCCACTCAGTTATTATCTTTTTAATATTTAAGTCGGTGCACTTGTGTTGTACAATGCCCGTAGAGGTCAGAAGAGTGTCAGATCCCCTGGAACTGGAGTTAAGGATGGCTGTTTAGCGCCATGTGGGTGCTGGGAATCAAACCCAGGACCTCTGCAAGAGTAGCCCATGCTCTTCAACACTGAGCCATCTCTCCAGTCCTGTCCACCTAATCATCACAGGTTTTACTGTTTTACTGTTTCTGTGATGAGGATCAACCAAGTGAGTATTACAGATAGGAAAACTTATAAACAAATGGTTACACTGTAGTGGCCTCTGTACTCACAGGTTCTAAAACTTATAGAGACTCTAAGTTAAAAATTCTGTTTGTGGGCTGAAGAGATCGCATAGGCGTGGAGAGCACTGGTTACTCTTACAGAAGACCCAGGCTTGAATCCCAGCACCCACATGGCAGCTACCAACTGTCCCTAACTCCAATTCTAGGGAATCCGATGCCCTCTTCTGTCCTCTGTGGCCATTACACAACACTAGTGCACTTATATACATGAAGGCATAACACTCATACACATAATAAAAATATATCAAAAAAATTTTTTTAATTATGTTTAAGCATTTGCATTTGGAATGATAACCAATGAGGAACATAATCTGCACGAATAAAGGAAAAACCCCATCAGAGGGCAGACAACATCTGTCATTTCTGGGTACTCAGGGAGTTCTTTCACCACTGAAAAGGAGAATTCTGATCTAGCTGTCAAATAACTCCTACAATAATGTTACCAGCGCTGGGCATGGTGGCACATACCTGTAATTCCAGCTACCTGGGAAGCTCAAGCAAAAAGACAACAAAAAGCATCAGCCCAGACAACTTAGGGAAACCTAATCACAAAATAAAAAGAACTCGACACGTAGTTCAGTGTTAAATGTCCACCTACCATGCAGTAACCCCCCTCCAAAGATACAGAATCATTTCAAGTTGAGGGGCACTTTTGTTACAAATAAGGTTTGCTCTCATCCACATCAATGAAAAACACCCTGTGAATTTTTTCCAAAAGAATGCACTAACGAGCACTATCTTTTTGAAGTTTTATTTAAAACAGGATGCTGTACAATACTGGAATCATGGATTTGGTTTCTGTTCAGTACATTAAAGAGAGGTGAATTATGGGTTTCCCGATGAAAGTCAGGAAAAAATTTCTAAAATTTCAAGGATGAAGAAAGGCCCTGCACAACTGCTCTAGAAAAGCGGTGGCACTTTTCTAGATCCTGTGTGATCTTCCTGACACCACCTACCATACTAAATTCTCAAATGGAAAAGTGTCATGCATAACATCTTTATTGAAAAATAATATATACACAACTGATTTCTAAAACACACACACACACACACACACACACACACACACAAAAACTCAAAAACATTTAGTCAAATCTGGCAATACGTAAAAATTAGAGATTATAATTTAACTGTGATATCTGACAATATCTAATAAAATAGAAGTTAAAATACATGAAGAGAAAAATCATCTTTAACCATAATATTAATGTACTATAAAACTGTGACGTTACCTGCCCATCTAAAAGCTGTTTTGTGGTGTTGAAAATTGAACCCCGGGATTTGTGCTTTCTATATAATTGCTTTACCACTGAACTCTACCCTTAACTCTAAATATGAAACTTTCAAAGATAGGCACTACTTCCTTTATAGCCAATATTTATAAGATATTTAATAATGTGGAACGAATGCTTAACTTTTAGCTCAACTACTTATAGACAGAACTAATTTGTAAACATGAGATGGGTGCTGTATAAACATAGTATTTACATTTCAATTATAAATATATACACAAGCCAAAAGATCATTTATTTCTCAAACAGTTATAAAGTGTTCACAGAAGAAATAGCCAGAATTTCAATAGAGAACAAGGTCATGTCACTTTAGTAGTATCAATGATCCTACATATTGCAAGAATTAAGTTGAGGAGAACAGCAAGGCATTAAACACTTAGAAAATTTTATTATGAAATTGACTGGCTTGTGGTATACCTATAACTACTTTTTTTTTTTGTCTCTTTGAAGCAGGGTCTCCCTGTAGCCCCAGCTATCCTGGAACTCACTATGTAGACCAGGCTGGCTTTGAACTCAGAGAGATCCACCTGCCTCTGCCTCCCAAGTGCTTGACCTCTTTATCATGAGAGGAGGGACATACTTAAAATATAAAGTATTGGGAGGAAATAAATCACAGAAGACCTTCCAATTCCAAGGGACTCTGTGTATATAAAGCTGAATGTGAAGATTCTGAACAAGAAATGAAGACTGTTAGTTTTGAGTGATGTCACATTGTATATGAACTCATTAAGAACACATATAGCATCCTTTCTTGAACCTATTTAAGTCAGGTAATATAAAGCAGACTCTTTTTAAAAAAACATTTACTTTGTATCAAATGACTTATGCTAGAATTTTCAGATAAATGACAAAAAAATTATGTAGAATTATACAAAATTCTCAAACTATTTTAAAACACAAATATAAAACCAGTCTATTTTAGAAATCAATCAACCAGTTTATTAGTTTGTTTTTACCTCTATCACTATAAAAACAATCTACTTTAAAAGCAATTAAGGGCTAGAAAGGGTGAAGTTCAGAGCATTTAAAATACAGAAAACAAATTGGGGGGGCAGATTTTAAGGTACACACACACACTCAAAACTCATCTTTTTCTGTTATTTATATGGATGAAACTGGAAAAATTATAAATAATTCTTACTAGGTTGGCCTTGAGCTTATAAAGATCTGCCTTCCTCTGCCCTGCTGAGTGCTGGGGTTAAAGGTGTGCAACCCAAGATTCTTTTACTCAAACTATAAGGGTTTCTTAGTAGGCTGTCATATTCTTACCACATTTCACATGAAAATGAACAGCTCAGGGCTGTGGCGATGGCTCAGTGGGTAAATTGCCTACTGTACACACATGAAACCCTGAGTTTCGATTCCCACTATCCCACATAAAAGCCAGGACGGGTGGTGAGCATATGTAGTGCCAGCATGAGGGCTCAGGGACAGACAAATACAGAGGGTCAGTTTAGCCAAAATGGTCAGATCCACGTTCATAAGACTGTCTTCAAAACATAAAGTGAAGAACTGACAGAGGAAGGCACCCAGCACTGACCTCTGGCCTTCACACACACACAAATAAGGCACGTGCAACTGCATACAACACGTACGCCCTATCCCCATACATACAAAATAACAATTCCATCATTTCAAAAGCCTAAGTTTAGGTTTACAGCTTTACTATTAACTCACCTTTTTCATTTTCTTTGTATCTACAAATGCCAACTGGAATCTCAGCTTGAAACATGGAACCCACCATGATTTCCTATTTTAAACATAACACAAAACATTAGTAAGATCTAGTATCACCTGTTTTATGTGTACTTCTAGCATAACTATCTCCTTGGCTACAGTCACTGTTTTCTGTCATAAGACTAATGACCTACCTCATGGTAGTATTGTGAGGATTAATGAGTTAATAATAGCTTAGAGTTTGAATATGACTGGATGGGAAATATTGGTAAGAGCTGGGCATGGTGGCACATGCCTTGAATCCCAGATCATAGGAGGCAGAGGCAGGTAGATCTCTGTAAGATCGAGGTCAAACTGGTCTACATAGTGAGATCCAGGTCAACTGAGGCTACAGTGAGACCCTGTCTTAAAAAGACAAAAAAACAACAAAACAAAAACAAAAAAAGAAAATGGTAATAACGGGTGAAATGTACCACAGACAAGAAGTGCCTGCATTATGCAAGTGCACCCACGTCTTGCAATGCCCACAGAGATCAGTCAGATCCCCTGGAACTGGAGTTATAAACAGTTGTTATCTGTCATGTGGGTGCTGGGAATCGAACATGGGTCATCTGCAAGAGCAGTCAGTGACCTTAACTGCTGAGCTATCTCTCTGTTCCCCATATCTGGGTCTTTTAGAGAGCGCCTACACTTAAATACTTCCCACAGGCAGCACCGGTGCAACTGGCCAAAGTATTAGTAAGTCAAGTGCTCAAATCACATTAAAGAAAAACCTCTAGAGACAGGATTCTGTTTAACACTGTCTAGGCAATTTCTAGCTTACACTTAGGTCTGAGAAACAAAGCTTTAAAGAAAGAACCAAATGGATTCAATTCCAAATCCAAATAATCTTTTTAAAATAAATGTATTTAATTTTTTTTTTTTTTTTTTGAGACAGGGTCTTCCTGTAGCCTCAGTTGGCTTGGATCCCACAGAAACCTACCTGCCTGTGCCTCCCAAGTGCTGGGATTAAAAGTATAGGCCACCATACTTGGCCAATTTCTATTTTCAAAGAGTATGAGCATTTTGCCCACATGTAAATGTACCCAGGTAGGACAGACGAGGGTGTCAGATCCCCTGGAACTGGAGTCACAAACTGTCATGTGGGTGCTGGGAACCAAGCCCGGCTCCTCTTTAAGAGCAGCCAATACTCTTTACTGCTGAACCATCTCTCCAGCCCCCGAAATTATCTTTTTGAGGTCGGTGCCTGACCTCCATTAATACAAAGTAAAAAACTACACCCATCCTAAAGCAGTAAAATTTTGTTATAAGGAAACCTGATAATCAAATCTACAGATTCAAGTCAAATTAGATTTGAACCCGGCTCTTGAAAAAGACAATTGGAAATCACCACTATTGAGATTTAACCAAGCAAAGACTCCAAGGATTTTAAAAGTTCCTCTCTTCTGCTACTGCCATTTCTTTCTTAATTAAGTACTGTTTTACTGTTAGTAAGTACTGTTTCACTTTCTACAACTTCACAGTAAAGCTCAATGCAACAAAGTCTACCTATACAGGAAAATCAAACTTTCTCATTATCAGTTTCCAGGTGTTTTGTTTCTAGACAGGGTCTTACCATATAGCCCCTAGCTGGCCTGGATCTTGCGTTTTTTTTTGTTTTTTTTTTAAAAAGATGATAGATCAAGCACCCATCTTACACAAGGAAAAACATCATTTTTCTTCTATATAAATGATTTCTCTTAACCAATTCTACATTAACCATTGATACAATTTCCCAAGAGGTCAACTCCTATGTAACACTTTAAACGCTTTAATTCAACTAAATGATTAATTATATAATGTTATGTAATTTTTTAAAAAGTTTTACTTATTTTATGTATATGAGTGTTTTTTATGCATATACTAAGTGCTCCACGTACGTGTTTGGTGCCCCTGGAAGTCAGAAGAAAGCATTAGATTCCCTAGAACTAGAGTTACAAATGCTTGTTGCCATGTGGGAGCTGAAAACTAAGCCTGGGTCCTCTGCAGGAGCAGCAAATGCTCTTAACTACTGAGCCCTCTCTCTAGTCCCATAATGCTACATTACTTTTTTAAACAAAAAGTTAATGTCTTATATTCATTTTAGAAATTATATGTATGTATTCATAGAAGTCAAATCTGTCCCTTTATACAACAGATTCATTAGTTATAAACATCAACATTACATTTACTCATTCTGAGTTTTCTTTATTTAAACTATCAAAATTTCTGTACAAATATTAACATCTTTGCAATGCTTTCCAAACTATATCTACATTTATAAAATTCCATGTTTTTATAAGGCAGCAACAATCTAACTCCAAATTAGTTTGGGACTTGATCAGAAATTTGAATTTCTTCCCATACCATGATTTTATGAAAAGATGTATTTCTTATTTACTTGGCTATATAAATGGAGAACTTGAACAAATATTTACCAAATGCTTAAAATGTCACAAAAAAGGCTTCATCAATAAGCCTGGTTAATAAAGGAATTACACTTGGGTTTTTAGAATAGTACTTAAGTTTTAGAAAACTACCTTTTTCCAGTCTTCTGACGGAATATAATCTTCATCTTCTTCAGATTCTTCTTCTACTTCACTATCTAGAATAAATAGAATAATTCTATTAAATGGAAGCTTAATTTTTCCGTATCTATATATCTTCATATATATTTACACTTACCATTAACTGTGATATGCCAAATGGTCAGCTAATTATAATTAGGCCAAGATGTTTCTAAGTAAATAATCAATACTCTTTCCCTAAACAAGACAACAAAACATTCTCCCAAAGAAAAAACCATTAATTACTCTAGGGCAGTAACTGTAGCCTCAGGAATTGATTCCCTAAGAACACAAAACCCTCAGGATCAGAATCAAGATAATTGTCTTATAAAGTCTGGTTACAAAGTCAGTTACATGATGTCCATTCTTCACATAGAAAATGAGGATATGGACAATACTATGCTTTCCAAAGTGTTCCTTATTAACAGTAGAGATTTTGCAGCAACATTTGAAAGACCTCCATTCTCCATTTTATCTATACAGGGCAGGCTGTTGTTTGGTTGCACTTTAAATGGCAATGATATACAGAGCTGGAACTAAGTTGGGAGCCTGTTTGGCATGCTTGATGCTCTGGGTTCCATTCCTAGCACTGCCTAAAATCAGGCATAGAGGCACAGGCCTGGAATTCTAGCACTTGGGAGGTGGAGGCATAAGAATCAGAAGTTCAAAGGCATCCTCAGCTACATAAAGAATTCATCAGAGTTTGGTTCCCAGAACCCACATTAAGGTAGAAGTGAGAACCAACTCTTGTAAGTTGTCTTCTGTCCTCCACATGTGTGCTCCTTCCCCCACATCAAATAAATAGAAATAATTAAATTTAGATCTGGTAGCTGACTTGTTAAGTTGACTTCTTGTTCTCAGAGACCATGGTATAACAGATGAAATATTAAAGTATGTGTTTGTACCTCAAGAATCAGCTTTTTTAGAACACGAGGAGCCACAAAATTACAGAAAACAATATACTACTTAATGTCATATTTGGTCAATGGACTGAGTACACACACACACACACAGACACACACACATTAACATATATGATGATGGTTCTGGAAGATCATATCACCTAAAGATGCTGTGAACACATTAGTTTGTTTAAGTATATCTTATGATGTTCACAAAACCAAGAAACTCCGTAAGAGCACATTTCTCAGCATACATTCTGTTGCTGAATAATACACAACTATTATGTAAAGGATAGCTAAGTAGCAAAGAAAAATGGAAAAAAACTGCAGGACTTTAAGAAATAAAAGGAACACACCCATATTCAGGTAGACTATCAAACAATAATTGTAATACATTCACTAAGAATAAGGCCTTCATTTAGAAACATTAGTAACCCATAACAAAATCCATTTACTTTTCAAAGAGATTTCAGGATAAATGAATTCAATAGAAGTAAAAACCACATTAGAATTTTAGTTAATTTATACATAAGACAGTGAAAATTATACTCTAACTGTGGAAATGATAATACCTACTTGTATCAAAATATTTACATCGACGTGGGCGGATCATTTCCTGAACATCTTGGGAAGCAGCAGATTGTGAGGGATCATCATTGGAAGACTGGGTTTCATCCTCCTGACCTGATGAATCCTTTATATTCTCTTCCTATGGAATAAAATGCATTTAAAATGCAAAAGAATGCTGTGGCAGCTGGGAGGCCAGCAGTCAAATTCTATTCTAGGTCTAAGTAGAAGACTGTAATAGCCACACTAAATGTAACATGGCTCTGGAGGCTGGCTCCTGGAACAGGGAAAAGGACCTTAATGGTGAATGCAACAGTCTCCAGCTTTGCTAACAGCATGGCAGCAGTGTGAACTTTTAGTTCTGGCGAAGATATTGTGGTTACATAAGATGTCAGGATTAGCGAAGTGCTGTGAGCCTCTAACATTCAAAATGATTTCAAAATAAAAGGGAAAAATGAACAGAACTGTTAGTTAGCCACTATTACTTAAAAGCAACAGCTTTGCTTTTTTTAAAAAAGTTGGATTAAATGTTTAGAAAAAGCAACAGAAATCTGTAATGACACAGACCAAACTTCATAGGAGTGGATTACAGGGGATATTTTCAATTTTTGTATTACATGTTTCTACATCTTTATTTTCAGAATTTAATCTAATTGTACCAAATTGTATTTAGAATTAGTACTATCTGTGGTTTCAGACATTCACTGGGGATCTTGGAACACACATCCTCCACAAATAATGAGGAAAGTACTTTTATGTGTACACACTTACTTTATTTTCCCCACTACAGCCACTGTTGTCATCATTATCAGCATCTTCATCATCTTCACCTTCTTCCTCCTCTTCCTCTTCCTCCTCCTCTTCTTCAGGTAGTCGAACAGCACTATTATAACCGTAGAGGCTGAGAAGTTCATGGATTGGCATGTCGCCTTCCTAAACACATCAGAATAAAAGTCAACTTCTGAAATCAATGCTTTCGTATTTCCATGTTCTAATTTACAAATCTATATGCTCATTTTCTACAGAATACTCTAGAACTGTATCAAATATTTCAAATGAGAGTAGAAATGAAACCCAAATCTTTTAAATACTCCTATAAACTGACCAATTCTAGATGGGCAACATAGCTGTCAACAGTCTAAAAATGAATTCATTTTTTGCAATAGTTTCAGTATATGTATGACAGGCAGCACTTACATATGGATTATTATTATATACTGTAGCTCAAATAATTTGGGGGCAAATAGAATAATTAAAAAACGGTGTGTAAACTAAGTTAATAGACCCAGAAAGGGAGATAAAATTCCGTGTCCAGACAAAACACACCGCAAAAAACCTCCAGCAACGTCATATGAGAATGATGACAATGTGCTACCTAATGTCACTGGATTCCAAGGCCATGCAAACTTTTCTAAAGTTATCTTCATTTACATACAAGATCATGTTATACACTGCTGTTTATGAAACTGTTATACCAATCACATCACACTAAAAAACCCTAGAATCCCATCAGTATACCATGGGGCCTCAGCAGGTTGAGTAAAATGAAGAAATATGCTTATTCAAGAAAATATAATCAGCGTATGCAGCAGGCAGGCAGGCAGGCAGTTATTCTAATCACAATCAAACAATGTCAAGTGTCAGAGAAACACAATAAAATTCTTACTATATAAAAGTCTAACCCAAATCATCAGAAGATACTGGACATAAACCCAAACACACATGATCTAAAGAAACAGGAGAGTCAATTTAGCATCTAGAAAAATGGTGCTCAATAAATAAGGCAACATGTTTATAACAATTTTCCAGCATTCTGTGCCTTATTTTTTTATGGAAGTAAGTCTAGCCCATATATCAAACACATTTCTATTGCAAGGACTGCATACACTGGAACGGATAACATTAACTTGATGCTGCTTAGGTGACAAAGTTAGGCCCTCTCATCCTCATTCAGAATTTATGAGCATAAACAATTTAGGGGCTGGAGATATAGCACAGTGGTTAGGAGTGCATACTGCTCTTGCAGAGGACTCATGTTTCACTCTCAGCAGCCATACAGGGTAGCCCAAAACTGCCTGTGCTTCTGGCCTCCATGGGTACTTGCACTCACGTGTGTGTGCATGTGTGCGTGCATACACACATACACACGATTAAAAACAATTTATTAAAAATCTTAAAAAAGATACAATCTATTATACTCTGAGAATTCCCCATAAGAAGAAAATATCATCTAATTCACACTGTTGTGAATTCCATTTCTAAAAGAGATTCAATTCTGAAGGCCTTTATGATTTGCAGAAGCCATAAGCTGAAAACTCACTAACCATATCAGGCAAGGTATCACCATTTTATGCTGTAATAATTAAAAGCACATACTGTGGTTTTCAAAGTACACCTAAAACTAATCTTGAAGTGCTCAAGGAGCTGATCCATAGAGATCTGGCCCATGTGTCAAATATCTAACACAGGACACTAAATTTGAAAATAAAGAGTCAGTACTTAAAATGTGTGACAGAATTTCATATTCAAGACAGAAACAAAGTAAGACAAAGATATAGCACCAGTTACTTTGATACACAACAAATAGCTTTCATAAAGTATCTCTTAGGGGCCAGGTACTAGACTGCCCCCCTCCCCCACAAGCTCCAGGTGGCCTGGAACTCCCTGTGTAGACCAAGCTGGCCTCTGAGCTGGCCTCCGGCTCAGAGCTCTGACTGCTTCTGCCTCCTGAATGCTGGGATGAAAGACATGTACCAATAAGCCTACCTTATGCTAGGTGCTTGGTTTCATCTTTTCTCAGAATGAAAGCAGCCAGAAGTACATAATCCAGCCAGGAGTGGTGGAGCACACCTTCAATCCCCGCACTTGAAAGGCAGAGGCAGTCAGATCTCTTGTGAGGTCAAGGCCAGCCTGGTCTACAGGGCAAGTTCCAGGCCTGCAGGGGCTACAGGGAGATCCTGTCTCAAACAAACAAACAAACAAACAAAAAACCCCCAACAACAACAAAGTACACAACCTCCCTAGATATCTCTTTAACTCATTCTGCACCCAAAGTTAGAAGTAGGCTGGCAAGTGAAGTTAGTATGATTAGTAAGAGTCACTAAAGCCATGTATGATTGAAGCAAACTAAAAAAATCACTAACATGGCATTCTACAGCCAGAACTTTCAAACAGCGTAAGAACATGAAGAGCTTCTTCCAGTTTTAGTTCATTCTCAGAACAATCCTAGTGTTACTATTACCTCTAATTTTTAAAAGTGAGAGTTAAGTGATATTTTAGGAACCCAAGGCTATGTCAATGGCAGAACTCTATGAACTCATCTTCTGAGCTGACCACAGCACTTGGCCCACTCTGGAACACAGCAATCAAAACAATCCCTAGGTTCTTGACTGTTGATCTGTCTTATTCAAGGGCATTACAATCAGTTTGAAGGTTTTTTAGATAAAACAAACTCCTTGGCCTTACCGTAGTCTCTGACCTAATGTCCTAGAGAGGGTCTGAGATTCTACATTTTAAAAAGTTCTAGACAATGCTTCTAGAATGACTGGAGGCCGATCCTAACAGCCACCAGTACCAGTGGTCTGGGATAAGAGACCAGAAAATCATCTTTTCCTGTGGGAAGCCGCAAAGCTTAGACATCGTAATAAATCTTTCACTAACATATGACATGCAAGTTAGCTATCTTATAAAAGGTTAGGTGACAGATACTATTGATTTCACTCTGAAAAAATATAGAATGGTTAAATCAAAGATCTCCCCTCATTGCTCACAAAGATGAGAAGGGAAATTCACTTTCTAAAAAAATCCTTTCTTGAAACTTGAGTGAAAATATTGCCTAAGGACAGACTGAAAAGTGACCACCAGAGTGCATCTGAAGAATGGACACAAGTTCAGTAATAGAATACATACAGATAGAGAAAAACACTTCAAGTCAACAGAAAATGAATCAGGTCCTCCTGATTAAGGCAGTCATGCTTTCCATAGATAAGTGAAAACAGCCCCCCCAAACAAAACAGTAACACCCCAAAAGGACAGAGGTTACCGAAAGATCAGTAACACGACTTCAGAGATGTCCTCTGTCTGACTTTATTCCTGCTATCAAGTTTCTTTTTTAAAAAATTTTATTTATTTTAATTTTATGTGTCTTGAGTGTTTTGCATGCACATATGTAAGTGCACCATGTGCAATGTAATACCCGCAGAGGTCAGAAAAGGATGCTGGATCCCCTGAGACTGGAATTAATGGTGGTTGTTAGCCACCATGCAGGTACTAGGATTCAAACAAGTCTTCTACAAGAGCAGCCAGTGCTCTTAACCACTGAGCCATTTCTCTAGCCCCTCTACTCCACTTTTTGAAACAACAGGATTGATTTACTAGGTTTCACAAATGAATGATAACATGTGGTATCTTTCGGTCTGGCTTTTTCACTTGACATAAATAATGGCCTCCAGTTCTACGTTATTACTGCCAATGACAAGATTTCATTTTTTATGGTTGAGTAGTAGTACACTGTATAGCTACACTGTATTGTCTCTACCCACTCATAGACTGAAGATCATCTGGGTTGGTTTTATATTTACCCATTGTGAGAGTGCTGAATAAATATGAGTGCAGTTATCTTTTGGGTCTACTTTGGATAAATACGTGTATATGTTTGTGCCAGTCTGTATATCCCAGTAGTGAAACTGCCAGATGATACGGTGTTTTCATTTCTGTTTGAGGAGCCTCCATGCTGTTTTCCCTAATGGCTAAACTAGTTCACCTTCCTACTCAGATTTTATTTGATTTCCTTTTCATTTCGATGATAGTCATTCTAAGTGGGCTGAGGCAATGTCTCATTGTGGTTTTAATTTGCATTTCTCTGATGATGAGTCAAACTGACCAAAAAGAGTAACAAAGAGGATCAGGCCTGAACAAAAAATGGAGTAAAACATGTTCTTTAAGAAACTTGGTAACAGGTACATTTACATACAGCAGGCAAAAGACTTATACATATAAAACAAAAGTAAATTAATAAAAATGCTTTTTTAAATGCAAAAGAACAGCAATTACTAAAGATGGGGAAAGGAGAGGCGAGAGATACATAATTTAACAATGGGGAATGGAGATAGGAGGAGACAGTTTGGTTCTTTAGCATAGAAGCCAATACTGTTTCAGAAACAACCTATTTTTCAAAATGACTAGAGCAATATAAAATTCCTAAAGACATTAAAAAATGATTGGGTTCAATATCCAGTACTGAGAAAAAAAAATGAAGTTGATGGTTTCAGAGATGGAAATGTTCACTGCCCTGGTTTTATTGTGCATAAGTCATAAAGTGCCATAATGTACTTGGTAAAGCTATACAATACCTTCTAACTCAATAAAAGATTAATTAGGAAAGAGATAAAAAGCCAGGTGTAATGATGCTGGTCTGTAATCACAGCACTCAAGAGGCTGAGGCAGGGTAGTTAGTTGCAAGTTCTAGGCCAGCCTCACCTACACAGTGAGTTCAAGGCCAAGAATAGCCTGGAATATACAGCAAGACCTTGTCTCAAAACGACAAAACTTGAAGCAAAATAAAACAGAAAAGATCAACAAAAAAGCACAAATACAGTCAGACAGGGAACCAAGCAATTCATATTATCATTACTGTTTTGGTATTCTGAGACAAGGCTCAGACTCACCTGGAACTCACGTAGCTTTAACTGGTTTCTAACTCAGTCTTTCTGCCTCAGGGTCCTAAGCACCAGAATTAAGCACAGGCCATCTGTCAGTCAATTCTTACTTATGACTAAACTCAGATTTAGAAGTTAAACCTCTCCAAAAGGACAACCTGTGTCTCTAGGCAATCTAGCCCTAGTGGGTTTTAGTAGATTCCTTTATTCTCCTGGCCAAAAGTTGAGCATATTCTACAGCCTGCTCCTAATTTACTTTCTGTTTGGAGCAGTTTG